CGTAGAGGCGAGTCTTTTCCTGGCGAGGAGGTCCTTTCCCCGGGGCTTCTCAACGTGCTCTTTTGGGGCTGTTTCTCCGCAGCTCCCGACGGGCCTCCGATGGATGTCACCCTGCAGCCGATGACGTCCCAGAGCATCCAGGTCACCTGGAAGGTGAGCGGGGCCGGGGCGGTGCGTGGGCTTTCCCTGGCCGCGGGGGCTTTGGCAGTGCCAAACGCCGCCCCGAGCCTCTGCGGCAGCAGCTTGTCCTGGGACCCGGCGTTTTGTCAGCGGTGCGAGGGCCGGGAAGGACTTCCCAGGCAAAACGAAACCCGAGGGTCGGGCATGAGGCTTGGCTGCGTCACACGGGGTCCTTTTTAATCGTGTTTTATAACAAGCTCATTATCTCACAGGATGTCCATGGGGGGCCGTGGGAGAGAGAGGGTAAATGCGTAAAAACTGAGGCGCTGGGTTGCAAAGTGTTTGAGCAGAGATCGATAAAACTTAGAATAGGATTTATTTTTCCAAAGGTGCATAATGAAAAATAAAATTGATTATAAAGTTAGGACTTTGGAATGAACTGTTAAGTCAATAAATTTAGGGTTCCAGCTTCTCCCCCCCCCCTTAAGTGCTGAAAAACAGATTAACGGAAAATAAGATCCACTTGAAAGATAAGTCACTTCGTTTTGAAAGTATTTCAGTAAGATGGATCGCCCTGGCTTTGTAACGTAAATTTGCAATCAGCCCTATTGATTTCTTAATGCTTCAGAGAAATATTAAGATTGATCTCAACCTGGCCTGGCAGGTTTTTAAGGCTGTCAGACTTGGGGGTTTTCCCTCCTCCCGTTGAGCTGCTCCAGTCGGGGAATGGCGCTGGCCGGACACGTCCCACTGCCTGGCCAGCACCTTCCCCTCTGGCGGCCTCCGAGGGCCCGCTGGACCTCTGTCTGTCGCTATTCTGCCGCTCAGTCTGTGCACCCGAGCGCTGCTGTGAGGAAAGGGAACCTAAAAGCTGCGGGGGAGAGGCGGTCGGGGCAAGGGAGCCCTGCGAGCCTCCCGTCCCCGCTGGGCAGCGTAGCCCTGCGTGACGCCGCTCCGGCTTGCACCCCTCGTTCCCTCAGGCCCCGAAGAAGGAGCTGCAGAACGGGGTGATCCGTGGCTACCAGATTGGGTACCGGGAGAACAGCCCGGGCAGCAACGGGCAGTACAGCATCGTGGAGATGAAAGCCACGGGAGACAGCGAGGTCTACACGCTGGACAACCTGAAGAAGTTTGCCCAGTACGGGGTGGTGGTGCAGGCGTTCAACCGCGCGGGGACGGGACCCTCGTCCAGCGAGATCAACGCCACCACGCTGGAGGATGGTAAGGCTGCCCCCGCCCCCGGGCCGGGCGGTTTTCCTGCTCCCCGGTGCCAGGTCCCCCTGGTGGGACCTTCAGCTGCTCCCTGCCCCATCCCACGCAGCAATTGGGGCAGCATTTGGCCCTTGGCACGCTCGCAGCTGCCCTGGGGAGGGGTTGTGAGCACGAGGATGCCAGGACACCCATGGCACTGGGTTTCTGGCGCAGTTAGAAGGACGTCAAGGTGGAGTTAGACGTTGCTGAAGGGCCAGGGAGGTTCCCATCCGGGAGAGATCGCTGGTGGCCTCAGTCGTTTCAAAAACAATGAGAAGAAAGTTTCGTGGTGTGTTTGCTCTGCAGTTTTTCATACTTAATTAAGGCTCTCGTTAGCCTGTCAAACCATGATCGTTTCGTGGCTACGTTAGCACTCCTCCTGGGGTATTCAAGGGCCCCTGTTTTAGCAATAGTGTCTTTTCCGTAATTATATTACCTTCATTTTGTTCAAACGGACTCTCTGTATTAGTTTATTATACTCCGTCCCTAATTACATGGTGCTTATATTTTTGTACCTAAGTAATATGAAACAATAATCATTTTCAAAGAGGATCGTTACGGTGATGTATTATCGTTTAAATGCTCGTAAAAATTAGAGTTACCTCTTATGGGGCAATGGGATCTAATTACCTCGCATCCAGCCAGCTCTCCCGCTCTCCCCTTGCTGGGAAGCACAGCCTGTCCCGGCGGCCTCCCGGTCCCCGTGAACGCAGGGCTCGCACCCGCCTCGGTGGGCCACGAGGAGCAAAACTGTGCGTCGGAGGCAAACGCTGCATTTGCCTGGTCCTGGTGCCCCGCGTGCCGGGCGGGGTGGCCCCCAGGGGCTCGAGCAGCCGGGGGAGAGGGGGCAGCAGCACGGTGGGGTCCCACGCGGGTGCAGTCGGGGCGGCTGGCCCGTGGGGCAGCCTGACATCTGCCAGGCGCGGGCCACCTCTCCGTCGTGCTGCTGATTGTCCTCCCCATCCGTCCCCTCCTCAGTTCCCAGCCAGCCCCCCGAGAACGTGCGGGCCATCTCCATCACATCGGACGTGGCCGTGATCTCCTGGTCAGAGCCCCCGCGCAGCACCCTCAACGGGGTGCTCAAGGGATACCGGGTCATCTTCTGGTCCCTCTACATGGACGGAGGTGCGTGCTGGCGGAGAGCGGGTGACGCGGGGGAGCCGGGCTGCTGGCGGCGCGGGGCTGACGGCTCCCGTCTCCCCGCAGAGTGGGGCGAGATGCAGAACATCACGACCACGCGGGAGCGGGTGGAGCTGCGGGGCATGGAGAAGTTCACCAACTACAGCGTGCAGGTGCTGGCGTACACCCAGGCCGGCGACGGCGTCCGCAGCAGCGTGCTCTACATCCAGACCAAGGAGGACAGTACGTGGCACTGCCCGGGGGCGTGGGCGCGTGCGGGTGTGGTCTCTCCCCTTCCCCGGGGTTGAAAACTGCGGCAGTGCGTGTTAATTAAAAGTAAGAAGGTGGAGCACGGAGGAGGAGCCCTTAGCAGGTATCAGGGCTGGGCAGGGCTTCTCCTTCCTTTTCATTTCCTCCCTGCTCGGTTTGCCAAACCCGTGGGCTCACCGTGCGCCCAGAGCTGTGCCCGGCTGGGAGGGGAGGAAGGGCGCG